AAATGTTACACACTAGACCTTTAAAACTGAGGACTTGAGACTTGACTTGGTCTCGGCTGTTACTTGACAGCCTGAAACAATGATTTGCTTGAAACCTGAAAACAAAAGCTTGATTAGAATCCTGGAGGAACAAAGAGATTAATAGTCAGTACAGGGCGAGCCTTGCAAAGCTGTGCTAAACACCTTGCCAAATTAATCATTACGCTTATAACCCTGACAGGATCAAGGAAACAATTAACAGAATAAAACAAGGAGTTTAATAGTAATTTTGTTATGCTGAGAGTGCTTTGATGAATGGTAATACTTTCTTATCTCTCACAGATCGCAGTTATAAAGCGAGACTAAGAAACAACACAACTTCTCTTAAAATGAGATCACAGAGAGACAAATGACTGAGCTGAACACATCCTGCATCCTCTGCGGGGAACACAACTCTCTTCCCCACAAGTTTATTCCTGACGCCTTATTTTTGTTGCATAATGAGAGTTTCACTTCACCTGATCTGTCAACATCTTTTCTCTGTAGACAGCCGAGCAAGTGGCCAGTCTCCACTCTGCAGTGATGTGAAAACAAAAACTCACTCACAGAATCAACATTCATAATCAGCCAAAAACACTGCTGCTCATCACCAGTAGTTTAATGTATTTTGTCACATTCATACTGACAGTTAATTACTGTCCATATTCACTGGCTTTCCTTTCACCATATTTACCATCTGAACATCTTTATTAAGTAATTGATATTGTGTATCAGTGGATACAGACTGATCTAATAACATTTCTTCACCACATACAGTCGTATGAACACATTTTCATTGTAGTTTTACTTACTGTGCAGGGATGTCTACAATGATTGAGCAGCGTTGTAGATCAGAAACCTTCCCATGAAACAACTGAATTAACTTCAGAAAGCTGTTTTTGTTTCCACGGTTAATAAATTCAAAGTGAGTTCAGAACACAGTTCACAAGTTCACCATCTGATCACATCATTCATCCACACAGATTGGACTGTAGTCGTCATCAACTGCAGATACAAATATTGGTTTGCTGGTGTGTGTGTGTGTGTGCTTGCAGTATTTGGAGGTGGTGACAGAAGAATATTGCACTGAGGAAAGATTAAATTTTTGGTACACAATACAACGCAATCACTTGACTCAATCACACACATACTTCTTTTTTATTGTTTTTTTTTTTACCAAACTTGACCATTTTTGACCACATTTCAAAGAGACAATCACAATATTTATTTATTTCTCTTACTGTTTTGTATGTAGAGAACTGGAGAAAAATCTGCTAAATTATTCATTTGTATGAATCTGTTTGATTTAAATTGTTTTTGTGGGCGGTGGTGTCGCTACAGTCAGACAAACAGGCAGAGAGATTAGTGAAAGATGACTTGCTGATTTGCTCTGTGATCCAGTTTTCAACTGTAATCCACAATATCGCAAAAACTCTGAAGGTATTAAACTGACAAATGAAAACTGTAGAAGTGACCCTTAGTTTTGTGTGATAAGGGTGTTTTTGAGGGCTTGACCCAAAATATTAACCTATATCAGGAGTGATCCAAAGGGGGAAAACAATGAGCTGAACACAGAGGCCACCAATCAGATAAACAGATTATAGATTCTTCTCTCTTTTGACCCACTGAGGTGATAGTTGGGATGTTTTGACGGGAAATACAAGTATTGCCATCATAAGCTAAATACAAGGTCAAACATAAGTATGTGCTGTTATTAAAAGTATTAAAATAGTAATAGTAATAGCACTTTGTGTAATATTTTCATCAATATTTGCATTAATCACACAGATAACATTGAGGGTATTGGGTGGCATAATGATGTATCCGATGGAAGATTGCAGATTTTTTGTTTAGATGTGTGTGATTTTGGATTAGTTTTGTCTGTTGCCTCTATGTAAACCTACAGCAGACATCTTAACATCCAACATCTGGGCAGTTTTTCATCCGCAGGTGCTGGATGGTTCCACAAACTCCAGCTTCTTTTCCTTGTTCAGTGACGCTGAGGAATCCTGGATAATTTGTGTGACAAATTATCCAGGATTCCAATTCAATGTGACAAAGACTAAGGAGCTCATAGTGGATCTGAGGAGGGCAAAAACACCTGTGACCCCTGTTTCCATCCAGGGGGTCCCTGTGGACACTGTGGGAGGAATATAAGTACGATTGGGGGTGTACTTTATAATAAACTGGAGCTGGAACTAGAAACACTGAGGCTGTCTCAACAAAAAGGGCGCAAAAGCGAATCTTTTTCCTGAGGAGGCTGAGGTCCTTCTAAACGATCTGTCTCGGACATGCTGAGGACGGTTTTTATGGCAGTTGTTGTGGCCCAGTACGATCCTTCTTCGCTGTCACATGCTGGGGCAGTGGCGTCCGCAGAAGCAAAACAGACTTAAACAAACTGACTCAGGAGGGGTCCGGTGATGTCGTAGGGGGGAGCTGGACACGTCCCGACACTGACCGACCGGTGGCAGAGAGGAGGCGATGCTGCCTCCCGGCTTCGCAGTCCACTCGGCTTGGACCATGTGCGGCACCCCACCTTTCTAGCGATACACTGCTCGGCAGAGGAGCACCTTCACGCAGAAGACTCTCTCCACCCAGATGCACCACAAGAGCCGCCAACAGGAAACTGCATTCCTGCCTGTGGTCCATCAACTCTCTCGAAGCAACCGCTCCCCCTCAGAGAGTCCAGACACCCCCCCGTCCTGCTCAACTTTTGTCTCTAAATAGTAGACAAATCATTCATTCTTTGCACTCCCTTTTGCACCATTATCATTATTCAGCTGTTATTTGATCTGTATATAGTATATAATAGAATAGTTACATATGTCATGACCTAGCGTTTATATTGTCTTGTGTGTTGGAATGATTTGTATATATATACATACCGTCGTTGTTTGTATCACATGAACTCTCATTTGTAATATCTGGAGTGTGTAAGAATATTTCCCTCTGGGATTATTAAAGTATTTCTGTAACTGAATCTGAATCTGAAATCTAATGAAACCTCCGCTCTGTCTGCAGGCGCTGTACCAATCACAAAATCTACCACACATATCAATCGCACAACCAATATCACACAATAAGACAGTTATCTGACATCCACAGATACACAGGATACAATCTAACTATTTCTTGTGCCATAATCCTTTTGAGCACTCGAGTAGAGGTTCAATTCAGAGTCAACC